TATAATTATTATTTTTTCATTATAACAATTCTGTTCACCTAATTATCATATTGTGATTTTTAAAAAAATATTATTTATTCAAAATATTTAAAAATAGAAAAGAGAGGCAGAGAGGAAAAGAATGTGTTTTTGAACCTTAAACCAGGTAAAAACATTGTATTACACCAAATGCAGAAAATAATATTATTTTTAGCATCGTCATATGACTCCTTTAAACCCTCAAAGTGCATGGCCCTGTTTACTTTCATTATAAGTGAATTACTAGTTTAAAAGAGCTGATCAGAATGACTCAGTGATTTTCTTTGGTACCCTGACATTATGCCTCAAATGTTGATAGAGCTTATCATATATTGAACCAATGACATTTCTTTAGTATAGATGCCAGATAGCAAGAAAACCACAGACGTGTCTCGCTAGCCACTCACAGCCTATGGTGATGTGAACTCTACACCCGACCTCTGCGTTAATGATGGTTTCGACTCAAATGTGCCACAAAATGTTGGTCCTGAAGTTATCGAGACTGAAATTGTTCAGTGACCTTTACAACAATAACAGCAGACTGAGCGAAGGCTGAACTGATTTCATGTTCATGCGAATGATTTCAGCCTCGTTTGTGTTTTCAGCCCACAGATAATTAGAAGAACACATGGTACCTGTTTAGAAAATATGCATATTCAAAACTATTGCGTCAATACAAATCCGTCTGTATTGTCAACCAAAAATGGCTGTTTCAAGATTTTATTGATTCTGATGAATTTGTGTAAATGTAGATTCATATTAATGAGGATTATATAAATCTGTTTTATTTTAACACCAGACCTTTTCGGTATGTAATAAAAACATTAAACATGTTTACAATTAGTTATTATTATGCTATGGCATAAGTACAGTAGTTAGATTTTTAATGCATCACAACAAATTCACAAGTATACAAAAAAAGTCACTATCAAATATCTAGTCTAATACTTTAACATGTAAAATATGTTAGTATTAATTTTTATATGTGTGTGTGTGTTGAGAGAAAATGGCTGTAAGTTTGAAGTGGCAAACTTGACTCTAAACACCTCAGATGTTGTGCTCTTTGTTCAGACACTCTTGTGTTTAATAACGTGTTGAGCAGGCCGTATTGACCCTGTCTGTGTGTCCACTCTCTCAATAATCAGCCTCTGAATGCTTAATGAATGAACAGAACAAACTGCAGCACAGCACATGCTCTGGCTAACATATGCATAGCACTCGGCCAGTCTGTCTGCATGCTGGAATATTATGCATGTTGCTAAACTATAAATTAAACATGTTTGTAAGCGTGACAAAATAGCTCTCACAAAACTTTTTCTATCAATTCCTTTCATCATTGAATGAACTACATTTATCATCAACAATTTGCCACAGTGAATTCTGCTGTAAAACTGCTTTAGATTTGTGTCAAAACAAGGTAGTTAAATATAATTTTATATAATTTTGCAGGTTTGTCTGTTCTGAACTGCATTTACGTTTGTAGCGCACAGACCCCTAAAGCTGTTGCCTAGTTAGTCAGCTTACTATATTTTGGTGCAGAGCAAATATGTCAACATTAACCAGCCCTGTTATTGGTTTATGTTGATTTCTGAACAGGTTACTACTTTGAGATCCCTTCCATCGGAGCCATAAGAATCAACACACAGGTTTGTCATTTCTACTGCTTCTTATACACATACAATACTGTTTAAAGGTTTGGGGTCAGTAATATGTTTTTAAGAAATTAGTTTGTTTAGTCAGCAAGGATGCATTAAAAGTGACAGTAAAGACATTTCTAATGTTACAAAAGAGTTCTATTTCCAATCATTTGTTCTTTTGAACTTCCTATTCATCAAAGAATCCTGAAAAATAGATTGTTGAGCAGCAAATGAGCATATTAGAATGATTTCTGAAGGATCATGTGACACTGAAGACTGGAGTACGCTCTTAAAAATATGCCATAGAAGAACCTTTTTTGTCTAAATGGTTTCATAAAGAACCTTTAACATCTGAAGAACTTTTCTGTTTCACAAAAGGTTTTTTTGTGGCGAAAGAAGGTTCTTCAGATTATAAAAAGGTAAGAAAGAGATGGTTCTTTAAAGAACCTTTGACTGAATGCTTCTTTGTGGAACCAAAAATGGTTCTTCTATGGCATCGCTGTGAAGAACCTTTTAAGCACCTTTATTTTTAAAAGTGTAATGATGCTGAAACTTCAGCTTTGATCACAGGAATAAATTTCGTTTTTACATATATTCAAATAATAAACAGTTATTTAAATTGTGATAATATTTCACAATATTACTGTTTTTAACCATATTTTTAATTAAAAAATGCAGCCTTGGTGAGCAGAAGAGACTTCTTTCAAAAATGTTAAAAATCAGTATAGTATATATAGTTTGGGGTTAGTATGATTTTTAATGTTTTTTAAGGCACATATACATATATTATCTATATTTATACAGGTTATTTGAACTCATTTAAGAGGTGTTTTTACCTACAACCCTTTCAGTGGTGGTAAAATCACTGTAGCGCATTGCCTCGAGTGGCTCATTTCTTTATAAAAACAGCAACAACAGCCATGTGAAAGACAATACTGATGCATTAAAATGAATCACAATAAACAGTTTATCTTCAGCTGATGCGCATTCACAGGTATGCTCATATCAGCTTCAAAAGTGACTGTGGCAGCCAATCAGATTTTCCGTTTTAATAAAGCCTCAATACATGAATCCAGTTCACGCTAAGTTCGTTCAGCTTTCTGAGCTTTGAAGCTCTGTGATGTTATCACGATTTAGAGATATATATGTCACGCTAGAAAGCATAGAGAGAACTATAAAGATGAACGGATAAAGTGATACAGACTTCTATATTTAGCATCAATAAGATTCAAATGGGACTGTGATTTATCTAATCCACTTCCGTACAGTTTTCATGATCCTCCAGCAATCTTTCCCGAGGCCCACGAAACCCGCCGCAATAGCATCGCTCTTCCCTGAAAGCAGTCGGTCCAATTTCCCCAGCTCTACTGTGTGATTCTTCAGCACTCTTCACTGACGTCTCGGCCTTTCTTCTTTATCTCCTCTCTATCACCTTTTACTATCTGTTCCCCTCTTTTCCAATCCAGCTTAGCTTTATTCATTCGTGTCTGCTCCTCCCTCTTTCTCCCCCGGCGTGCATCGAACCTCCCGCAGGCGAGCTGATCAGGCTCTTGAATAGACCATCAGCTGTTCCATTAGGCTGAGTGTAATTTTATTCAGAGAACTGCCACTTATTCTAATAGCCTGCGTGAGACAGGTGTGGGCGCGTAACTGTATATATCGACAGCAGCAGCCGCCACACCTGTGCACCTCCTCACCACCTCCTCTCCTGTCACATACTGTTACCTCCGAGAGCCGTGGACAAAAATAACCACCAACTGCACTTCCACAGCAATCGCTCGCAGATGCTGGTGGATTTCTGACAGGAAAAACTATCAAACCTGCAAAAAAGTTCTTCTAATGAATGTATGAAAGTTGCTTGAAGAAAATTTCCAAAGACAAGTCTAATTACTAATATAGTTTGTTTCACTGAACACATGGTTGTAAAGCAGCTCAGCAGAAAATCGTGATATAGAGGTTTATAATATCTTGATATCTTCATGCTTTATTTAGCAGATTATATCTGGGCGATAATATAGTTTACATTGTGCAATGCTACAAGCAGTTCAGCCATTGAGGCAGTTATTATTTTGTGTAAATTAGGGTTAACTAAAACCATAAAAAAAGATTGTTACTTGAAATAAAATACAATGAAAAAAATATATATTTTTTTTTTTTCAGGTAGTAAGGCAACATTTCTCATTTTCATTCAGTTTAACTATATGTGCTAAAAACTAAAAATGTAATAAAAATTCATAAAACTGCATAGACATTAAAAAATTATAAAAATGACAAAAAAATTAAAATTACTGAAACTTTTTAAAATGAAAATGGAAGATATAAAAATTAATTCAAGATTTTAATAAAAACTATAATACATAATTCATTTTAAAAATATTTAAAAAAAATTATAATACTATAATTTAGCTGAATAAAAGCATTGATTTCTTTAAAAAGATATATTACTGATGCCATACTTTTGAACGGTAGTGTATATAGGATTATTTTGTCATATAATACATTTATGCTTAATATGAATTACTCGCATGCTGTTTGCATAAACTCTCAGGCTGTTAGTGTGATTAGAAAGCCATCGAGTTGATTGTGAAAGTGTTCAACTGGAGAAAGCTGCTGCCTTTACCTTTACTCTCTACCTGTATAACATTAAAGTGTCACATTGCTAAGTATAATGAGATCAGTATGAATATGAATGCAGCTCCTTTATAATTGAGCTGCTGCATTGAGTTCATGAAGGTTTATGGACAGACTGGAAATCTACAAGCTAATCTGTGCGGCGGCCTGCTGTGTCACTGCTCTTTATCCCCTCGTACCGCAGAGACCGCCATTACCGGCTCACTGCTGTTTACCTTTCTCTTTTCTCCCGCGTGAAAAGGTCCGCCTGTCATCTTCTCTGCTGAAATGTGTCCCCACGGCACGTTAAACGGTGTTTTAGTGAGCTAATAATAGAATAGGTTACGCTTGTCAGCACTTCCATGTTCCAGCAAGAAATAAAAGTGTCCTAATGCTGCAGTTTCATCAAAAGGCCACACTTACACAAGCTGCTGGCTTATTCCCCACATGAGCTTCTGGCCCTCCATTAGCTGTGTTAAGATGTTGAAGCTGGAAGACTGCATTATTAAATGTGTTTTCTCGGCCTGGCATTGACATAGAGTGGTGAAAGGTTCGGGTGAATCTCACAATAAACAGGAAAAAATTAATTATATTTTGTGTGAAAACTCTCAGAGTCACAACAAACATGGACATTTTAGGAAATTTGTTTTGAAAAATGTTTAAGAAAAATTTATAATAATAATTGAAAATTGAATAATAAAATATAATAAAACATGGACATTTCCATAGTAAAGTATCTTTAGGATTTATTTAGAATTATTTTAATTATTTAATTATTAATTTATTTAATGTGTGTGTGTGTGTGTGTGTGTGTGTGTG